GGGAAAGCCTTGTTTTTCTCTAAGCCACAATTACATGTGGCTTCAATCATAGTCAAATTTTCTTTCTCTCCCATGGGGATTCCCCCAGTGTCTCAGTGCATCTGTTCCTAGCATTAGAGCATTCAAGTCTCTTTCCTCCACTTAGCTGCTTAGTTTCATGAAGCTTGCCTGAATTTCATCCTCTTTGAATCAGATTTCACAGAGGATTAAATTCATGACAAATTTATCTAAGCTTCAGAAGCTAAGGGTGGTAGGAGGACAGACAGAACATTTAAACTTGACACACAAAAGTTTGTTTACATAGAAAAACAGACTGGCAAAAGGTGTGATTAAGTATTCCTTACAAGAGGAAAACTAATGCCTGCAAATCCTTTCCATTGAAAAAACAGCAGAAGATTTTGCTTTTATTTTCTAAGCTGTTTTTGAAAAGGTTGTTTGATAGAATGTCAAGTCATGGAACATTTTACTTCAAAGTTTGGACATTTCTGGAAGTTTTGACTGTGTAAGGGACAAAACCTCTCAACCCCTCAAAGCCTTCCAAAATTTCAAGTGGTCTGCACTGAAAAACAGCAATGAAAAAGGGTAAGGCAAACAAGCAATTAAAAAATATACAGAAAAACAGAAAGAAGAGGTAAGAGCAGAAGTCCATACCCATCTCACAGAAAGCAGGTACAGAATACATATAGAGAAACAAGAATTAGATTTCATACAATTTTCCTAGGCTTAAATGTATCAGAAGAATTCAGCAATCCTCCTCATATAACCCGCAGTATCTTGACATCGCTCTAAACACAGAGTTGAAATACTCCTCTAAGCATCATGACATTTTGTTTGGGTTTGTGATTGGAAGCCATGAAACTTGATGAAAGATACACTGGACTTTTGATACAAGATACACTGACTTTTGTTTTGTCTTGACTTTTGTTTTATCTGACTTTTGTTTTATCTTGAAATTCCTGTTTAAATGCTTAAAACATTTCCAGAAGTACCTGTAAAGGCATTAATCTCCTTCAGCTCTTTGCAATTGTAAAAGCAGTATCAACTGAGACAACAGTCATACTGCTCAGGACATTCACACTTGTCATCTTTAATTTAATTTGTCACTACTTAGCAGGAAAACTTTATCTGGAGGGGGAAAAAAACCTGTTATCACTTCTGCTGTAAAAATAATCCCTGATATAACACGTATTACATTTCCTAAGATAAAACAAATAAACTCTTTCAAAGAAGTGTATTTGGACTCTAGTCCGAATATGAATTGTAGTGGAAAACAGACCTTTTAGGTACTAAAATATCTTTGCACCAAATATAAACCTACTTGAGGAGGAGTGGAAAATCTTTGAAAATGTTCATAGAAGCAATAAATTGTCAATTCTGTTCTCTTACTAAAGGCATACTTGACATTGCTTATGACAGAACCACTTGACTGAGAAACAGCTTCATAGAACAGCAACCAGCTGTCTTCTGACAAACAAGAAAGGCTACATTTGCTGAATAACATATGTCACGTTTGTCCATTTTTTCATTTTAGTTTCTTTTTTTAGATAAAGTTCCTTTTGTGCTGAAAAATACAGTCATTTTCCCCTCCCCACTACTCCTTCATTCACTGCTTTTACCAGTTCCTCTTCACACTGCCTGGGTAACACCTCGAGTTTCCTCTTAACTCTTCAAGAACTGAGGAATAACTTGGTGGAAAAATAATCAGCTAGCAGTCTAGAAAAACACTCCTAATAAGCTATACGTTTATGACTGCTGCTCAGTCTGTCTTTTTTGCCTTAATCACAAGTCTTTCAATGCTGTTCTGCATTATCTACCAATTAGTTATGCTAGTTCTAATCTGTACCAAGCCAGGTCTACACAAACGCTCCTCACATGACACAGTCTCAGGAGCCAGCTCTGGCTCAGCAAGTCACCTCTCTCTGCTTAACCACATTGGTAGGAGTTCCTCACTTCCCACCACGAGTGCCGAGCACCCTCAGGGAGAGACGGTGCTGAGCTCCTTTCTCATATAAAATGCCATTTCTCTCTCCTTGCAGAATGATTACATTCATGGTTGACAAAAACTGAAGGTAATTCCAGAAAAACAGTTAAAAATATGGCACGTGTGTGAAGGTATCCAAAAGTACCATGGCTCTCTTTTTAATGAGGCAAATAACAGCACCTGTCTTCTCACTGGTACGGGCACATACTGCTCGTTAGCCTTAACAGGAGTCAAGGAGATGTACAGATATTGTATTATTACTATGCATTCAGGATTATGTTCCTTTATTACCCTAAACCAGAGATTTCTGACTGGTAACAAGGAAATTTGTGTACTCTCTAGTTTGTGCCAGGACACTCTGAAGGAGGAGGAAGCAGCCTGACGAAGAAGATGCCAAACTGTAATTTTATTAAATAACTTGAAGCAGAATGTCATAGTCAATTACATACTTAAAGACTGAAAGCAGGCTCACATTTGCCAACAAATCATCCATTTAGGTTTTGTTTCAAAGACTGCTCCAGGGTTTCTGCTAATCAGAGACAAATGGCAAAGTGATGAGTCCTGCATCACAACATTTTGTGATACTCAACAGCAGAACTCCAGTGAGAAACATCTAAGACATCTACAACTCAATGCGTCGTGGTAGCATGGGGTTTTTGGTGTTCTTATTTCCCTGACAGCTTTTCTCATGGGAGGACTGAAGTTCCTCCAATGTACCATAAAAACATAAATAAAACTTCAGCTGGATATATTATTTAGTGCCATAAGGACGGACCTCCCTGCACTGATGCAGAAAGCAGAGGTGGGTACAGAACTGCAAGTGCCCGGAATCATCTTGGGGAAATTAGTTTAATACTGAGTAAGATCAGCAGTTTTCTTACATGTTAAAAGAAAGCTGCCAGCTATGACAGGGAAGCTAATCCTCATGAATCGTACACACTGAGAGTGTGACATGAACCAGTACTTGGTGAGGAGAAAAAATTGCCACCGAGCCCTAGCTGAAGAGGATACATCTACATCAGCAAGAACATGAGTTGGTGAGCTCCCATGGCAGATCTCCTGGCTACAGGGCAAGGTCACTTGTTTTGACACAAGACATGGAGAGAGCCACACACCTATGAATGCTGGTGCGAGGTCTGCTGTTAAGGGAACGTGTCCTGTTGTACTGATGAACTGGAAGTATCCAAACCTAGACTGCAGACGCTACAGTTCCAATCTGATTTTTTTAAGATAATGATGTGCAGGGTAATGGTATAACTGATACCATTTACTTCATTTTAGGTTATTTAATTGACTGGATCACAACTGGAGAGTAAACAAATCTAAACATACAATTGAAGTATAGGTCTGCTAAAACCCCTATTTATTATATAACTATTTTGGAATATCTTTACAGGAAAATATCATGGATTTATTAATAGCTTTTCTCTACAGTTAATTTATGGAGAGTAAAGAGTATTTGAAATATTTTACTTGCACTAAATTTGAACTCTTCATCCAGGCAACTCCACAGTTCTCTCTTGCTGACTAATGCTAATACAAAGTAGTTTTTTAGTTTCATTTGATGCTTAAAGCCATTTAAAAAAAAACAAACAACCCAGTACTCTATAACCTTATTTCTAGCAAAGTTAAAACTTGGTAAAAGATCATGGAATATTGAAGTCCTATAGCAAACTTCATCACAACCTGGACAAGATTGACAGAAGTTGAATTGAAGGAGCGAGCTCTATTTCTACTAATGTGCATTCGTTAGTAATTTTATTCCCTAAAGTTTGTGTAGATGCATTTTGGGACAACTTGTGATGGTTCTGTAATTAAAACTTCATCTTTGTTACACCCCAAAGCACATCTTATTCCAAATTTTTATAGCAAAACATCAGACCTATGGAAGACGTCACATCAGTGAAATTTACTTCCACTTAATGAAAATGGAAGCTGCAAATATCACTTTGATCAAGTAACTCTGCAAGTCATTTTACTTCTTATGAAAACATAGTTGGTCAAATTTTGTTAGGAAGTAAAATCCTTTTAAAATAACTTGATCTTTGTGGACAACATGCATTTTAAAGTAAAGAACTACATCTCGGCACACGAGTAAGCTTATCAAATTTAAATAGATGCTGTGTAATCCAAGATTCCAAATCACTCCCAACAAAATTCAAGATACTTGAGTTTGCAGTGCTTACCTTTCTTGACAAAAACATAAAGAAATGACTGTTCTGCAGTACGACACATAGTAAAGAGATCCACAAGCAGGCAAGACCACACAATACAGCACACTTCAAGTGTACAAGGTAGAGTACAGGCACATGCACAGAGTCCCAGCAAGACTTGCTGGCATAAGCATGATATTGGACAGTCATGGCTCAAGTACATTCAAACACAACTCAAATCACATCCAAGCTAGCTTCCAAGCATCTGCACAACTCTTCTTGAGACTTTCCTGTTTTTATCCTTCCTGGGTTAAAATCAGACAGGCTCTAATCACAACCATGGGTCAAGTTTTGTAGAAATTCACTTCAGAAAATGGTCGTTTCGAAAGTACTTAAAGCAGACTATTCAGCTCTGTACATTCAGAATAAAGATCAACTTGAAAGTAGGTCCCTTTTCCTGGCACATCACAATTTTCTGCAGCTGCCTTAGGCTACAGCCAAGTTACAATAAGTATTTCCTACCCTGATCTTAATATAGTTTGGTTTACGGCACAGACTAAGGCCTAAGCAAGTTTTTAATGCCCAGTTTAGTTTTGAAACATGACAGAATATTTGAAATATACTATTACATTTTTGCTGTGTCTATACTTCCATTTTGTGACCCCAGTCAAAATACATACAATAACAAATATTTAACAAATCCTATGGGCTTCTGGCACTCCTCCTTCACTGGAGAGACTCAAGACTGAGCTACAGAGACATTTGCCCTTTCTGCTCTTTCTTTCACAGAGCCCTCTTTCATTGCACACATTGTCAGACTTTGAGCAAAACGGTGGGGAGTCCTCTACCACGTACACAGCCTTTACCTGCTAGAATAGAGCATAGATTGGTCACGTTGATAATGCTCATCTACATTCAAGGAAGAAGAAGAAATTGTGGTTGCCAAGGAAGCTGCCTCAAACAGAGATGGAGTGCTTGGCACTAGATCCGGCTGGTGGCGTGAACCTAGTACTGCATACACAAAAATAAAAAACATAAACAAATTTTATTTCAAATCGAATCCAAGAATCTCTATGCAAATGTATGGAGTCACATAGTCCTCTCAACAGCTTCTTGAAGCTTCTTAACATGTTTGAATTGATAAGATTGTAATATTCATGTGCCCTTACCCACACTCTTCAGCGTTACAGGGAGAATTTCAGCTGCTAGCCAGTACATTCGGCAGAATACAGAGCAACATCAAGGTCAAAAATTAAACAGCGGTAGGAATATCTGATGAATTCTTCTAAGTTCTGGGACTGCTGTCACACTACCAGAGCCCAGTTTTCAGATGGGATTAGGCACCTGATTATCCTTTAATTCTGGCTGCAGATGAGCTGTGAAAGGGGCAAAGCCTGTATCTCTTCAAAAAGACTCTGGGATCAACGAACTGAGCTTCAAAGCACTTCATGTGACATGTTTGTTTAAAAGTCAGTGGAAAAAATAGCTCTCACTCTGGCCTTAATCCGCTACCTGGGCTTGATAAATTTTTTTAGGATCCCTTGAAATCCAGAAGATTAACATCATACTATAACCGTGATTCTGACTTCCTCTTGCTCCTGAAGGTCCATTCTGCCAAATGACTAACAACTCTCTCCATGAGAATAACCTGACTGAAGTTTTGAAAGATGAGCCCGATTGGAAGCTTTCTAGTTACCGGGTTTCTAGAACTTATACTAAATTCCTGTAAAAACACTGTTTAGGCTGTTGATTTAAAAGACATTACCTTCTTCATCAAGGCTAGCATAGCTTTGTCCTTCAGCAAGAATGCCATGCTTTTCATCCTTCCACTCCTGGCTAACCGCACACACTATTTCTTGTGATGTTGCCTTTAGGGCTGTGATGGAATTGCACCGTTTCTTTGAAGGTGAAGACTTTAAAGCTGCGTGACCAAATGAACATAGGTGTTGAATGATGTCATCTTATCTCCCTGCACATCTTTAACAGCACATAGAAAAGCAAGCCATCTATAAAGCTAGAGTTTCTGAATACAGAAAAACAACACATCCAGACACAAACCCACTTATCAAATATTATATTAAAACTAGAGCCAAAGGCATTGTTACTTCATCTATGAGTGAAGTACTTTTGTGGTTTTTTTCTGGGGCTTCTTACTGCTCATAGAACAAAAAAAAAATCAAGTCAGTTAACCAACTTAGAGATTTGTAACTTAGTCATGTCAATCTACAGAGTATCAACCCATGTAATCACAGACAGAAGGATACAGGAAAAAAACAACAGGAAAAATGAAAAGACATTTGGAGTGTTCTGGAAGGTTATGATCATTTCATTTAGCAGTGAACTACTGCTATATAATGATGTATGTGTTACTGCAGAATTTCCACTTCAGACACATGTCAAACACAGTCTTGGCTAAAATAAACACTTCCAAAATGTTTATGGCTTGCACATTCAGGTATGAGCATCCTCTTTACAATTCTTACCAGGGTCTGCCTACTTATAATGGCATTTTGGGTGAAACTCTAGAATCTTACCATTGCTACTACCACTGCATCATGACCCCCATTTGTAGTTCTTCTTCTGGAGAAGAAGGATGTCAGACAGCTCTTTTAGCATTTTTCAGTTGCCAGCTGCTGACCTCCATCCATTGGCTGCAAGGTTACTTCAGATGTACTGCAATAGTTCACATTGTGTTCTATCACTAAATTCAAATTAAAAGCATCAAAGCTACTTGGCTAAAGTCTGAAGAAAAGAATCAGATCCACAGCTCCAGGATATTGTTAAAAAAATAACATAGTAGATAGCTGGTGAGCTAGCCTCTGCCCAAGGCTGAATCTGCTTATTATGTTTTTATTGTTATTTATGGAGGCTTGTTCTATGCACTAGGGAAAAAAGCACACATTCAGAACATGGCTAAAGAGTTTAAACTGAAATGCAACTCGAAGTTTAGAAACAATGTTCCTGAAGGCAGGAACACTTTCGATTCTTTATTTTATGAAAGAATGATAATGCATTTTAACCATTAATCCACATAAAAGTAGAGTAGATCAATGTATGCAGAGCAGATCAGTAGGATATTAAGACAGGTTAATAGCCTGGAAAAATGAGACAGACAAATTAAGATTACACAGAAAATCAGGCATGATGTCCTTAATTGTACACTGTAGTTTTCAAATACAGAACAGGTTGTGTCTTGTGCTGACATAAATCTAGCAGTCAGAATTAGAAAGAACTGGAAAAAGTCTCAAATGATCATGAAACATATATGGCTGCATGAGATATTTATTTTGTCCAACAGACAGAAGTATCAAGTAGTTCCTCTACTGTCTCAGACAATAGATCTCCCACTAGTTCTCTGCCAAATTGTTCTAGGGTTTAAGAGATCTGAGTCTCAGGAGGGTCCTTTCTCCTACTGAATTTTGCTTCATATCTTGTCATATTATATCAGATTCTTTTATTTTTATATTAATCATCATTTTCTGAAGGATTTAACATTTAATAACTTAAGTTGTTAATTTGTGCTAGCACCTTAGTCATTCTTATTTCACTTAAATCTCATTTAGTTTTATCCTTCATTTGTATTTTGGTCTACCTCTATGCACATAGACTTGATTCTCACTCCAGATAACCAATGACAATGTTAAGAGACTAGTGACACTGGTCAAAAAGGTATTTACAAAACATCTTCTATCAGTCTGACACAATGCCACATGTTCAATGCCTTTTCTGTAGTATTTGAGCCAAGTGTACATTCCACATTCAACTCTACACCAAATACAGTTCCACAAGTAGGACATCAAACTGCTAACTATGATCCATTTTGGAGTATAAATTCCTCTATAAATGACGTAGTTCTAGCCAGGCAATTTATAAGTATTTGTCAAGAACTCTGCTTTATAAAAAGCCATGGAACTCACAAAACACTGTTTCCTAGAGGCTAAGCAGAAACAGCCCTTCTCTTACCGGAAAAAAAAAAAAAAAAAAAAAGAAGTGTAATTTCAGCACCTTCACAGATTTAAAAAACAATTTGGCAGTAAAGCAGTAAGTTAGTATGGACACATACTATTTAAACCACCTGATATGTATGTCTAGGTTTTATATCATTTGCCATAATTGTTGAAAAAGACCTCACGGCTCAGGTAACCAGAACAGCTTTTCCCCAAAGGGCAGCCTGGGCCACAGGAACCCCAAGCACTCATCTTTGCCTTGCTACATATTCATCAGGGCTTCCCTTCAGCCTTCCTCACTGCACACACACTGAATGCGTCTCAGCGGTCATCATCATCCTTCTCTGCACTTGCGATGCTTCAGACCGAATCTCCTTTCAGTAGTCTGACCAAGTCATAGAGGACTTATCCATCAATTCATTAATATTGATAAGACTCTCCAAAAGTCTTACTTTCATAAATAGTAGTCACAACATACCATGCATACAGGGAATCATTAATTAGGGTTAAGTCAAATTCTCTCCTTGTCTTCTAAAGATTCCTTCACTCTACTTAAAATATCTAATTTCTTTTTTTTTTTTTTAGTGCAGTTTCCCTCAGCTTTCCCCTGTAAGTCTGTTGCTTTTTTTTTTTTTTTGATTGTGCAATGAGAATATATCTATCATATCTGGAGGAACTATAATTCAAGTAGATACGAACATACGAATTTATGTTCAAGATGCGTATTCTTGCACGATAGCTATTTTTTCCCTGTTAATTTTCAAAGTCAGGCTAAATGCAGCAAGTCTGAAAATAAATCTGTTCCTTAATACTTGCAAATTCTGTTGTTTTGCTTCACAGCTGTACCCAGATTACGATAAAATATCTATATTGCTTACTCCATGAGACTAAGGCAACATTTTTTTATTCTTTTCAGTTTGGAATCAAGAAATAAAATGTGACAGCTATTTCTCCAATATTTTTGCTGAAATCTAACTTCATATGCCTACTTGGTAGTTACTGCAGTGTTTGTACTCTTTGGAAGGTACAGTGCTGGGACAGAGTTAATCTTATCTGTAGTAGCTCTATGGTGCTATGTCTTGGATTTGTGATGAAAACAGTGTTGGTAGCACCCCAAAGTTTTAGTTATTACTGAGCAGTGCTTATAGAGCATCAATGCCTCCCCACACTGCCCTGCTAGTGAGGAGGCTGAGGGTGCACAAGAAGGTGGGAAGGGACACAGCTGGGATGGCTGACCTCAACTGACCAGAGGATACCCCAGACCTTATGACATCGTGCTGAGCAATAAAAGATGGGGTAAACAAGATCAAGGGGCAAACATTCATAGTTATGGCATTTGTCTTCCCAAGTAACCATTACACACAATGAATTCCTGCTTTCCTGGAGATGGCTAAACAACTACCTGCTGATGGGTAGTGGATGAATTCCTTACTTTGCTTTGCTGGCAGGCACAGCTTTTGCTTTCCCTGTTAAACTGCCTTTATCTCAACCCAAGAGTTTTCTCACTTTTACCTTTCTGATTCTCTCTCCCATCGCACCGGGGGACACTGAGTGATCGTCTGCGGAGCTCGGCTGCCCACCAGGGTTAAACCTCAACATACAGGAAGAACTTGCCTACACAGGATCAATCTACCCTCCATCCCCAATGCCTTAAGAGGACCTACAGTTTCAGGATCTACTTCAAGGTACAGAAATCAATTAATTTTATTAGAAAGAAGTGACATTCAACAGTTACATTGTTGCTGCAAGACTTAAACTTAAGCCTTTGGTCAGCTCTTGGTAGTGAAGTCCCACTGTAGCGATGGCGGGTTTATCTTGCCTTTTTTTCTTTCCTCTGTGTATTGAGTTTGTGTGGCAAAATTGAATAGCAGTGGGGCTACAGAGGTAGTTTCTGTGAGACGCTGCTAGAAGCTTCCTCCATGTTTGACAGAGCCAATGCCAATCAGCTCCAAGATGGACCTGGTATTGGCAAAGGCCAAGACCATCAGCAAAGGTGGAAGCGCCTCTGGGATAACGTATTTAAGAAGGGCAAGACACTGCTGTGCAACAGCAGCCAGAGAAGAGGAGTGAGGTTATGTGAGAAGAACAACCACGCAGACATCAAGGTCAGTGAAGGAGAAGGAGGAGTTGCTCCAGGAGTTGGAGCAGAGATTCCCCTGCAGCGTGTGGTGAAGATCAGGGTGAGGTAGGCTGTCCCTCTGCAGCCCATGGAGGTTAACAGTGGAGCAGAGATCCACCTGCAGACTGTGGAGGACACCCCACGCTGGAGCAGGTGGATGCACCCAAAGGAGGCTGTGACCCCATGGAGAGCCTGCGTCGGAGCAGGTTCCTCGCAGGACCTGTGGTCCCGTGGAGAGAGAAGCCCACGCTGGAGCAGGTTTGCTGGCAGGACTTGTGACCCCATGGGGGACGATGCTGGGGCAGTCGGTCCCTGAAGAACTGCACCCCATGGAAAAGACCCATGCTGGAGCAGTTTGTGAAGAACTGCAGCCTGCGGGACGGACTTACATTGGAGAAGTTTGTGGAGGAGAGTGCTAGAGCAGGGGAAGAGAATGAGGAGGAAGGAGCAGCAGAGACAACGTGTGAAGAACTCACAGCAATCCCCATTCCCCGTCCCCCTGCACCACTCTATGAGAGGAGGTAGAGAATTCAGAAGTTGAGTCCAGGAAGAAAGAAGGGAGGGGTGAGATGAAGGCATTTTAAGATTTGGTTTTATTTCTCATTATCCTACTATGATTTGATAGGTAATAAATTAATTTCCCCAAGTCAGGTCTGTTTTGCCCGTGACCGGTAATTGCTGAGTGACCTCCCTGTCCTTATCTCAACTCACCAGTCTTTTGTTATATTTTTCTCTTCCCCTGTTCAGTTGAGGAGGGGACTAATAAAGTGGCTTAGTGACCATCTGTGTTTCAGCCAAGGTCAACCCACCACACCCTGTAAGTAACTAACAGTGGTATGTATCTTACTCTTGTGAATTAATTAAAAAGATTAAGGAAGGAGAAATGGAGGGGAAGACTAGAAACAGGTGATAGTGACAAAGACAAAAGACTTTATTAATATCCAACTTCTGATTATTTTCCTGATAAAGCACAGAAGAAATCCATATGAAAGGAAAGAATGTCTATCTTTTCAAACATGCTGGAGGTGGTATGTAAACAATTTTTAGTTTTGGAAATTATTCCTCACTATGAGGGTGGTTTCTTCACTACGAAGGTGGTGAGGCACTGGAACAGGTTGCCCATAGAAATTGTGGATGTCTCATCCCTGGAAGTATTCAAGGTCAGGCGAGATGAGGCTTTGTGCAACATGGTCTAGCAGAAGGTGTCCCTGCCCATGGCAGAGGGCTTGGAACTAGATGATCTTTGAGGTCTCTTCCAACCCAAACCATTCTACAATTCTATGAAATTAAATAAAGCCAATGGGAGTGTTCCTATGAATAACAGATGCAGAACCGCACATGTCACCAGATAATGAAATTTATTTTTATATCAACGCTAGTATAAGGGAATCTGTTTTACCTTCAGATGTCCCTGATGTGACAAAACATACATAGCAAATAATTCTCTGTGGTTTTACTATTAAAGTACAATTCCATTAGCTCCAGTGAAGAAACTCAACTTCTCAATGTAAGTGCTACATGACGTTGAAGAAAGGATTCTTTTACTGCCAAGACAGGAGTGTTATAAAGTAATGATTACAAAAATATCTAAAAGAATAAAGGTGACAATGTTCTTACCTTGAACTTTCTTGAAAACTCTTGTACTCATAAACTTCAAAAATCTGTCTGCATAAAAACTTGGTCGGTGAACTGAAACAGTATCCTACAAGATTGAAAAAGGTCTCAGTCAAACTTTCCATAACCAACTCACAAGCAAATTGTCAAGAAAGAAGCTGGACACCCCAGGTAAATGATATCATACATTTCAGGCACACTCTAAACAAGTGAACCCTAATCCCTTCCTTTTCAAAGGTTAATTACTTCAAGAACTTTTATTTAAGTACTTCATATATGAAATGCTGAGTTATGAATTAGGCAGCCATATTCTGCAAAATCTTCCTAGCATTCAAAATGCCTTTTGTCACATCACATACCTTTCTCAGTTACAGATTCGTCCATGTCCTGCTAAGTGGCCACTGTCTTGTGTAAGTTACAAGGACAAGCTGATAATTTTAGTTTCTTCTTGAAAGATCAACAAATAAAATCAGAGCGTGTATTGGGAAACGGACTTAAAGGATATCAGCAACAGCTCGAACTATGTAGTGATGGTAGACTACAAATACACCGGAGCCAGCTCTTTCCTGGTCAACATAAGTTGCCAGTTCCATTAGCAAAAGTATCAGCAGTTAAAAAAAAATAAAAATCTACTTACCCCATCATAAACGAGAGCCTTCCAAGAATGTTCCAGCTTCTTCATTAATCTAAGCATATAAAACCAAAATCAGAACTGCTTTATAAAATTTCCACATTCGTAAGTAATTTCAGAATTGCTTATTCAATAAAAACTTGAAATTCAACTTACCTGTAAGACTGAAGAATATCAATAATACCCATAAATAGAAGCAGCTTTACTCCTTTGTGGCTTTTAGCTGGAATACCTCCCATTCTGAGAGAAACAACAAAAACATAGTTAGATTGTCTTTTATGACATCTCTCATCATTAGCAGGTGAACTGTACCCACTTGCAAACCCAAAGAAATATGCACAACATTAAAGCTAGATGCTACAGTGCAAAGTAACTTCACATACAACTGATTTTAACTGGCAAACCTAAAGTATTAAGATCCAGTGGTAAATATCCATTACAAATGAAGAGTATTTTGGGATAACTTTTAGATAGAAGTGGAAATATTTAGCTGATCCAAAGATTGGAAAAAACAACAGTTTATTACTAAGCAAAATAAATCATTTTGCCTAGCTAAAGGACAATTTTATCACTTTATTGATCACATGTAACAAAACTGTAGAAAGTCTGCACATTACTTCAAGTCTGAAAATGTTGTTTTCTATATTTTTCACTAAAAATTAAGTAGCCATTTTTCCTAAATTTCTAGCGACAGAAAAAGTAACAATACAGAGCTAAAAAGTCTGATTGCCTGCATCTGCACTTGCTTCAGAGTATTTACTCAGCCATGACCTTAAAAAACAAGGTGCTCATATTGAGACCCTCTTCCTACTCCACCACCTAGAAAAAAGGGTCCATTGCTTTCAGAACCACAAGCTAAAATCCAATTTTCAGTTTGTCAGTTTCTGTTGGCACTGATGGATTCACTATAAAACCAGAAGAGACTGGAGATGCAACACATGCAATACCTCTAAATATTTTTTAACAGTCTGAGAAGCAAGTAATACACACCTGAATCAAGTACTAAAGACATAGTCGAGAATATATTCCCCATTCTGCCAAAGCACAGTAGTCCCTTCCCTTGACAAAACAGGGCTATCGTCTACTCAACAGTTTTTTTTTGGGGGGGAGAGGAAGTTTTTTAAAATATTATAGGCACCAAGGAAACCATGTAAGAACAAGTGGAGTTTGAATTACTGTAAAACCCTGTTACTGTAAACTCCAGCTCAATCGACTGGTCAGACTTGCAGAAGTGTTAAGTGGATTACAAAACTATATTTCGTCAGCATTTCCTGGAAGCTATGACTGTAAATTCAATCCAGTACAAGCAGCAGTTAATGCTGCTGAGTATCTATTCTCATCCTCATGCTTACATGGCCTTGTAATGAACCACAGCAGAAGACTGACCTAGGGGTCTTTTTTGCAAGACCTACGCTTATTTTCATCCACCTTAGTGAGGTTTGCCACTCTGCCAGTTATGTCAATACGAGAGAGGAGAGGGTTCAAGGGGCCAAGGAAGGACTCAACTGCTGCAGCAGGCTGTCAGCAGTAGTACTACACTGCTCAGGATGTGGGCAGCACTACATTAGCTCAAGTGGTGTGGGAGTCAGGATGCGTTTCCATACATAATAACTACAGAGACCTTCTCGGATGACATATCAGTTTTGGCTTTTAGTTAAAAAAGACAACCAAACCAAAACCAAAACCCAACACCCCTCAAAACTGCCAGTGAAATACCTCTGCCACCATACAAGAGCATTCACCATCTTCCGTGTGAGCATGAGTAATGCTGTAAAAACTGAGTGAAATTCAGCTCTGTCTAATTTACGTTCAAGAGCTCTGAATATCTGGAAACCCTCTATAAATGCTAAATATCCCAATTCTCCCATTTGTTTGCTGTAGGTTTAAGCACATGTTTCTATATCATCACTGTATTTACCTAGACAGTTTCCTAGAGAACCAGAAGAGTAAATCCTTAATTTGAAATTAAACCCTCATTATAATAAAGGACTGATTATACAGAATGAGAATGGTGAACATAATGCTCTCATTAACACTGAAGGTATTTCAAAGGAAACAATTGAATAACTATTGTCTATATACTTAAATTTCTGCTTCAGTTCTCGCAAGACAGAAAAATAAGAGGAAAGCCACAGTTTCTAACCTGGGGAAATATCATGCATGGATATGACTGCACTTCAGTGGCTGAAGACACAGTTCTACATATTGAGTATGCTATTTTGAGATGAAAATAACCACTGTAGGAACATCTATTTCGATGTTAATAAATAGTTTTTGCTTATGGCTCATCAGGCTGCTGCCAGTTAAAATCAGATTATACCTGGGACTCTTGTACCTGTCTCATAACATCTGTTACAAATGAATGCACTTGTGCATACATAAGTCACTCTGAACTACTCAAATTTGCTACGATGTATTTAAAGATGATCAATCAACATTTTAATTTCCTGCACTGCAACAAATCTTGAGAGTCGAGTATTTGGGGAAAAAAAATAAAGGCTTAATCTTTCAATTTCTGAAATGCAGTGCACTCTTGAATGTTTTGCCTGTTAATATCAAGTGGCATAGACCGAAGAAACAGAATGTACAAGTTTTGACAGTAACCTTAAGAGCAGGTTATGGCACTTACGTGTTTGCTGTCTCTGTGGTGACAGAGTCCCCCGACTTCCCAGGGCCCTGTATAGACTCCATGGCTGTGGAATAGAGAACTTTCTGCCCTCCAGGACGTTTTGCATCTGATGTGCTCTGGGAACTCTCTCCTTCTTTTTCCTTCATGTTACTGTTCAGTATGTGGATTCCCAAAAGCAGACTGTAATCCATGATCTTAAAACTTTCTAGAACCTACCAACAAAGAAGAAATGGCTGTACCGAAACAAAAAAAGACTACATACAATACGAACTACACAGCAGCCTTTCTAAAACTTAACTAAAAATAGGCCTTCAAAGCAGAAGTTTCTCTGGTTCTTTAATTACAATCAAACAAAAATTTTTCCTATCTCACATAAGTCAGAGTGCTAGTTAGCTAATTAGCTCAATGCTCTTGTTACAAGTGGGAGAGAAAGATGCATAGCTGAAATGTAACCTGACATTAGTTTGTAGTCAAGGAAGACATGTCCAGTCAGCACCTTTTTATTTATAGCAAATAATCGATAATTGTTTCATGACATACTTATGAACTATAGACATTTTGAAGTCACCTCTAATGCATGTTCCAGACTTCACCTAGCATTTTTGCCCAGACTACTCTCTACCTCCTTTCCATCTCCTGTTTATAATCGAGAAAGCATTCTTGGAGAACTTTCAAATGTCAAAAGGCGCACTTGCTAACACCCTCTCATTAACAGCTGATGGGATTTGGGTACAAAAAACATGACTCTCTCTCAATTAGGCTAAATATTATCTAAACTGCAAAGGCAGTTCTATTGAAGCATGACCTAACCAACCAGACTTCTTTTCTAGCTCTACCAACTATTTTTGCCTCCGTCAGTACATGAGTTCCCTTTCTTCTTTCATGTACATGTACTGTTCTAGGTTTCTAGTGAGGTACATCATTATGAAGTCTGGCATACTGCCATTAAAAGGAAATACAGTTCAAGTCAACATGCAAACGTGAACTAAAACAAGCTGTGATCACATCTAGTAACATAATCAAACTGTTAGCAGACAGCAATTGGATTAAGTATCTTATACAACAGCAGTGTTAAGTGCAGGGAGAAAACCAGTAGCAACCAGGAAGGATAAGCTGTGCCACTCACCTCTCCTTTACCTCATGCAGATCAGCAATGATTCATGATATGTTTTGGCACACAACACCCTAAGATAATAGTGTAATTTTTGGCATGAAATCAAGAGGCAATAGTCCATCTTTTTACGTGAACAAGAACAAAACGCGATTTTGCACAAACGACAAATAAAGAGCAGTACCTGCAGGTATGTCACTTTGATGAAGGCGATCAAAGTATAAATATTTTTACACAAAACACTGAGACAGCTTGTGAACCCTAGGGCACATTTTGCAAATCGACAAAGAGACTTGTTGGCAACCACCAGGAAAGTCTAGTGGTCTGTGAAATTGTATGAGGAGGAAAAGAGAGTCTACTACTTCACAAAACCTCAGAAATAATTTTAACTCTAATGTCCAAGTACATACGCAAAGAGGTAGGAAAGCTTTGTTCCGCTCCATCTGTATTTCTTATGTACTCATTGTATTAAGTAGAAGCCAAATGTACAACACAGCTGAACTCTTTTCAATCTCTGGCATTTATTTTCCATGAAGAACATAGTGTCTTAATTTTAGCACCATTGTAAGCATTTAAAGTGAAGAAACAAAGCATAACACACTGTACTTTAAGTGTAGAAAGGCACAGCCTCATTCTGACTGCCAGACACGAAGGAGGAGTTTAGAGGACATAGTCAGTTTGATACTACTCAGAGTAATCCTGCACAGAGGTGGGTTGTTTCAAATGGAACAAGAAAAAGGCTGCTAAGGTATGGCTCTCAGTACTCCACAGCATCCTCTAATGACAGAACTCAAACAGGGTTCCAGGACACAACAAAAAAGCATATTCTAAATTACCATACAACAAGGGAATGAAATTTTATTATGCATTGCGTGGTAGCGTTGGTGGCTAATAAATTCCTGGTTAACAATCAACATTTGCAAAAATAGTGCAACTAACAGGTACAAAGGCACAGACACTTGGTGCCAAGTAAGTTCTAGAATTTTCTCTACTGCTTGCTTACTGCTAGCCTTTACTCAGACTTTCTCAAAAAGAAATTACTGTATAATGTATTCATTAAAAATATGTAATCAGTGGATGTTTTCCACCAAATACTTAAAGTAGATTCTGGGTAGGCTGAAAAAAAAAAACCCGAAACAATTCATCCTCTATAATAAACACTTACCTTAGCAGTACAGTAAGCAACACTGTTTATGCAAAGCCAGATTACAGCAGCTGGTTGGGTTTGGAAAAAGCATCACCACTGCTATTTGACAGTTATAAACAGAACTGCTCACAGCTCTGCCTTCAACCTATTCTCTACTGCCTTTTGAACTAGATTACATTAGACACATCATGGTCTAACTGCACTAATTACATAACCTATGACTAGGATTGGATGTAGCCTCACGGAAGGCTGTGGTATGATGTGCTGCTGTTTCTTCCACAGGGACCTCTTATGTGATAAAATTCATCTTTTTGACTGCATCAATTCACCACTGTCGCTTCAACCCATACTACTCGTACTATACAATGGGCTAAAAATCTCTGACTATTTATGACTTTGTTCTAGGATTACTGAAAAACATCATAAAAACAAGTAGCTATTTTGCTATTCCAGTTCATTATGAAATTGGAGCACCTGCACATCCAATGGATTAACTGCAGTACATGTTCTTACAAACAGCACATGGCATGTGAACTCTAGCCCTTGTCTCCCTGACACCCTATTCATGGTCCTACTGTCCTACTCAGAGGCAGGATTGTCCAGTCTACAAAATGTCTTTAGGACATTGTCATATGATCTTCCTCTCTGTCTGCCTACTGGTTGGATATACAGTTCTGATCATAGAATCATAGAATCGTTAGGGCTGGAAGGGACCTTCAAAGGTCCTCTAGTCCAACCCCCCTGCAAGGAATAGGGATATCTCCAACTAGATCAGGTTGCTCAGGGCCTCATCCAACTGGGCCTTGAACGTCTCCAGGGATGGAGCATCCACCACCTCTCTGGGCAACCTGTTCCAGTGTTCTACAACTCTCATGGTAAAAAATTTTTTCCTAATATCCAACCTGAATCTACCTCCCTCTATTTTAAAACCATTACCCCTTGTCCTATCACAACTGGCCCTCCTGAACAGCCTCTCCCCATCTTTCTTGTAGGCCCCCTTGAGGTACTGGAAGACCGCTATAAGGTCACCCCGGAGCCTCCTCTTCTCCAGGCTGAACAGCCCCAACTCTTTCAGCCTGTCCTCATAGGAGAGTGCTCCAGCCCTCTTATCATCTTCGTGGCCCTCCTCTGGACCCTCTCCAACTGGTCCATGTCCTTCTTATGTTGGGGACTCCAGAACTGGACGCAATACTCCAGGTGAGGTCTCACGAGGGCAGAGTAGAGGGGGAGAATCACCTCCCTCGACCTGCTGGCCACGCTCCTCTTGATGCAGCCCAGGACGCGGTTGGCCTTCTGGGCCGCAAGAGCACATTGCCGGCTCATATTGAGCTTCTCGTCCACCAACGAGGATCACCTACTCTTCAAAATTTGATAACCAAAACAGCCACTCCTGATGCAAATACACATCTTTTGACCAGATCTTGGTATGTTTTAGTCCCCTGTTTGTTTCTACGGAAAATTCTGATGAGAAATAATTAACCAGAATAACAAGGAAGAATCTCAGACATTAGCATTTAACAAAAACTTTCTTTGTGTCCAACTGTTTAGACTGCAGTGGGATTTCCAGCTGAATATATCTCAAGGGTTCTCACATATGTATCATCATTAACAGTTAAAATAAAAAATCTTTTTTTTTTTTTTAAATGTGTAAGTATCACAAATTACTGTTGTGTGTAGAAATTAATCTGGTTTACCAAGGAAAAGTTACAGAATGCAGCACACAAAACTATTTCTGAACATGCAGCACCCTATGAGAACATAAAAAGGCGTAAGCCTTTGTCTGGGTCGAGGGTTGCTTGCAAGTAGCTTTGATGATTTTAGATGGCACTGCTTTTGAGAAGCAGCAGCAAGTTTTTGACACAAAGGCACCAAAATGAGATCCTAATCTAATGAAAAAACACTCAAACAAATCACAGTATTAAAGGGCTATGTGCATAGCAAAATAAGAAAGCCCTGTAAAACATCTGATGTCATCCATGTGAGATCACTAGAAACTGACATTAACTCCCAGAAATACAACCTTTGAGTAGTTAAATTGAGAAAAATTCTATCTTTACTCATGTAACCACCCTGAAATGCACCTTGCTAGCAAAACGGCACTGGGAGATTTTGCCAAGAATATTCTTATTTTTTAGTATACATCATGATTAAGTGTTGTATTTGATAATGACAAGTAAATGTTCAGTTCATTAACTTGACATTAAATTGTTCATCTAGTTTGCGTTTACATATGTGTTTTTTCACTAGCTACACAGATTCTGTCAACACAATGTTGTCACTTGGTCACCAAGTACTGCTTGCAAGACTGGCTTTAGCTGCTCTGACAACTCCCAGATGGCAAACGCCACTCATCCCCTTCTAGCCTCAAGTACTATTTTGCTTTCACACCACCCAAAAACCCCAGTAAAATGGCATCATAAAAGACGTTGCTTCAGAACATGAGAAAATAGCTCCCTAAATCAGATCATCTCTTCTCTGAGCAAATCAGACGTTAAAGCATTCTGTGAATCGTCTGAGACATGGTTACGCTCAAATATATCAGCCAGTGACTAATAGAGCAAAGGAAGTATTTATTCCATAAAATTTCATTTTTATTTTAGATGTAGTCCAAGCTGTGCACTGTCTGACAGAGAAATCTGCATTCATGTTGCTAACCACACAAAACAACTCAAGAGAGCAGGTCATTTTCATAAAAGAATCCAGGAACATGCTACTCAAAAAAATGTAATTTCCTAAGCTTATGAAATGCAAAACCTAAAGGATAACCATACAAACAAGCATTTCCTCTCCTATGTATTCTGGAAAAGGGATATAGGAATCAACATAACAGAAAAAAGACTGATTTTAGATCAAATCAATAATTACTCTCCAACATAAGGAGACATATAAAAATCTCACAAAATAAAGGACTATCTCGCAAATTAAGCATTTCTTAGAAACAAGTGTGCAGATGA